TACCTATATCAGTGTTCACACACGCGGGAGTGCCAGAAACAGGAAGAGTAGGTGACCAGTGCGCATGTGTATGCCAGAAATCAGAAGCTCAGCTTCCCAGCACACATATGCGCGATGTGGAGCGGCTCTTCTAGTTTCTGGTGGTCTCCTCCCTGCGCGCACTCCCATTTTGGCACTTGCTGAAAAGGTTCAACACTGATATAGGTAATATCAAAGATATGCACTGGTTTATGAGCATCCTCTACATTGCTAAAATCCACCCCAAAATAGTATACAAATGTATTAGTATATCTTGGTTTAATTGCTGCTTAGTGGTAACGTGCTGGGGATTACTGCCTTCTTGTTCCCCGAAGGTATCTAAAGTGATTTTGGTTGGTTGGGTGTTGGAGTCTTGACTATGATTATGCTGTCTCCATCATTTTTAGTTAATGTCATTAATCAAATCCTACACTCTCATTAAGCATGATGTTATGTGATTGCCAATTGCAACCTCCTGCCTGTTTCCCCATTTATTTTGTTTGTCAGAAGCTGGCAGTAAAGGTCACATGACCATAGGATGCTGCAGCATCATGATGCAATTGAGCAATCGAGAGTCAGTACACTGAGCATCAGTGTGTATACACACACACACAAACACACACATACCTAGTGGGGTTTTTTGTTTTTGTTTTTACAAAAATTCCAATTATATATGTATTTTCTTACAATATATATGGAATATTTTATAGAGTTAGAAATCATCCTATTTTAAGTGATCTGTCACTTAACAGTAATTTTTTTGAGTATGAAGCCAATTCCTGCTGCTAAGTTTAATATCCTCAAGCATGAGGTTGCTTAATGGAATAATGCATAGTCCCCAAAGTCCAGTTTTAGCTATGTTACATAGTCCTCTTTGATTCTTAAAGGTTACAGTTAAGTTGTATCCTGCAGATTTATTATCAAATGGGTAATTCATGCAAAACTAAATGCACTCACATTTAAAAATAGGATTTGAGGGTTACAAAACCCTGCTATGGTTAAAGAAATACAGTACATAAATGCCTGTGGCAAGCTGTTCTTTGAAATTATCCCTACTAAATTATAATCATGTATTGTCAACTCTCTGTAATTAAACATTTAGATTTATTTATTCCAGGCGTATTTGATTCAAATAAATCCAGAACTTTTGTTGAAGTACTAGACCATTAACAAGTCTCAAGCATTTACAAATTATCAGAAAATGAAGTGAATTGTCTCCTTTGGTTTTGTTTGCAGTATGTCCACTGATGACTTCATTTTATGCTGCTTTGGAAAAGAATAAAGATCATGTTTTTAGGGAATTTTAGAAACTACTGGTTTCTTTTGAAGCAACCTAATGGCTCTGAAAGGGAACTACAGACAAACTATATTAATAAAAATTAGCCATGCTTTAATCCCTAGTTTTGAGGAAACATTTGCAGGGTCTTCAGATTATCCCGATTGACCGATGATCTTTGGAGAGCCAGGGATGGAGGCCACGCCTCCATCCTGGTGCTCCTTGACCTCTCGGGGGCTTTCGATACCATCGCCCATGGTACCCTTCTGCGCCGACTGCGGGAGGTGGGGGTGGG